TATTCACTTAGAACTTTTATCCTATTTGACCACTGAAAAGTTTTTAATGGCTTTTAGACGTTTTGTAAGAAGACAAGGATTATGTAAAACTATTTATTCTGACAACGCAAAAACTTTTAAAAAAGCAAACAAAGAACTGTCTGTATTGTGGGACTCTCTTAACTCAAAACCAGTCCAAGATTTCCTTGCAGAACGGAGGGTAACGTGGAAGTTTATCGCGGAGAAGGCCGCCTGGTGGGGTGGAATGTGGGAGAGGCTTGTGCGTTCAGTTAAAACTTGCCTGCGTAAAGTTGTTGGGAGAGCCTCTTTGAAATATGAGGAGATCGAGCCGCTTCTCGCGGAAGTAGAGGCTGTTATTAATTCCCGACCTCTTACCTTTACTCACACTGGCAGTGAAGAACCGAGCCCTCTCACTCCCTCGCACTTTCTGGTTGGCCAGCGACTTACCACTCTTCCCGCAGCTGGAACTCTGACTCTTGTCCCTCGAATGGACGCAGACAAAATGAGGAAACGATGGAGATACAGACAAAGACTTTCAAATTTATGCTGGAATCGTTGGAGCAAAGAATATTTATTAGAATTACGCTCTGCTCATTCTTGCACCAACGCAAAGGAATTTAAAGACTTTAAAATCGGAGACGTGGTCATAGTCCATGAAGACAAATTGCCACGTCACATGTGGAAAGTGGCTTGTATCACCGAAGTTTATCTCGGGCGTGACGGCAGGGTTCGCTCTTGTCTACTTATGCTTCCCTCAAGATCCACGCTAAGGAGACCCATCCAGCTTCTTTATCCCCTTGAACTCTAACCACCAAGTGATGAGCTGACGGGAGTCAGGCTCATCGGCGGGGAGTCTGTTGCGGCTGTCCGGATGCGCCGCACGCACTACCATCTAAATCACCTTATCAGTTGTGATTTATTCACTAGTGTCCCGAAATATAGCTATTATCAATTATTGTATTTACTACATGATTGTTTTTGATCCAATTCTCCGATATCAAATAAATAACTTAAAGACCTTATGACGGGTTTTTTTTTTTAAAAATAGTGGATATCAAAATTGCATGACAATGTCAATTTGAAAGAGATTCCGGCAAAAAAAATCCTATATTTTATAAAAACGTGTTTTTCATGAATTTAAGTTGTCTATGCTCTAACCTGTGTGTGACGTCATAGCGGGTTACGCCCATGCATTGAAAACCATGGATCTATGCCACAGGACTGCCTTTTCTCTCTTCTCTCCACTGATGCCCAACACAATACTGCACTCTACAGGTGACAATTGCTCACTACACATAAATTGCCGTTTTGAGTGTGAAAAAGTGTCCGAGGTGGGATTTGAACCTGAGTATCTAGATTGGAAGTCCATCGACACAACCACTGGACTATCTCAATGACAACAAAATGTTACATTCTAGTAGTTATCTTAGACTCGCTGTACACGGCTTTGTCATCTTGAATATCCGCGAAAAATGAACGAATACCAAATTGTAAACAACTTACAGCATTGAAACGTACCCGTTCTGACGTCACCAAGGGCTGTGACGTTTTTTTGTTTCTAAGGGCGTTGCTATGGGGTTATTTCGATTTGGGGGGATCAGACAAAAAAAACAATAACTGATTTTGAAACCTTTAGTAGTTCTCTTCTAATATAAAATGGTATTAAAACTGTATTTCTAAATAAATCAAACCCGTCATAAGGTCTTTAAGTTATGTGTGATATCGACTCCAATAACCCCTACACTCAAAACATTTTGAGATCAATCTCATAATTTTGCTAGTTCGACTTTATTCCCATAATATTTCGACTTTAAAGGTCAAAATTTTATGACTTTATTCTCTGTCTGGCAAAAGAAGAAAAAGGGTGACTCTTTGGCTCCGTGTAACTCTTTTCTTTGGTTTCTGTTTCCTCTAGTGTATGCACACGGCCCTACAGTCCCTTTTATGGGCATTAATGGGCATTATTGGGCGGTTACCTATGCTAATGGCTCACCTGGGACGCACGCTCAATTTACGAGGAAATGGCATTCATCAATCGAAGAACAGCTGCAAACTTAAAGCCACCCTGAGTAATTTTTACAGCTGCTCCATATGCAAAAACATGTTATCTAATGACAAATGTGACCTTTTTAAGAATATTTACCTCCACCGTGTATTTTGAATTGTATTCATAGGCTTAGAATTTAACTTGTCCATGATAGAAGAGTGCTCTCCATGAATATGCGCCATCTTGAAAAACGGTGGTGGATAAGGGACAAAAAGAATGCAAGAATCACGTTTTTGTTTCACATGAGCTACTGATATTGTTGCTTTCACAAGTTGGAAGAAGGAACCATGGAGGGCCACAGTTATGTAAAAGAACGATCCAGACAGCAAACTTTAAGAAAAATAATTATGCAGAAGTCTAGCGTCATAGCAGCAAAGTGTCAACATCGCAAACCACACGCACAAAGACAGCGTTAACACAAAAGGAGGCACATCGTTTTCACACTGAAAATAATGAGAAAGAGGAAGAATCTGCAACACAGTCTCAGGATGTTCTGCCCTGCTCCAACTACTATCACAAGTTTCAACTAAACTTATTCAGGGAAAAAGCCTCAAATAAAACACACACAGAATCCCCAGAAAACCATCGCCAGAATACTTCATCAGCAGCGTGAGTGAATGTTCCGTTTTCTTACCGTGATGCAGATAGGGCGCTGTGTCTAACGCTAATGCTAACATGAGCTATTAGCCATCTCCTGCCGTGGCTCTGTATATCTCCTGCTTCTTTGATCATCGCTCCCACAGATGTTATTCCTCAATGCGTCTCTTCTCTTCATACCACGTTTGTAAAACTATATATCATAATAGATCCATGGTAAAACCAAGCCCCGGCGATCCAAGATGGCGCCCTATTCAAATGAATGGTCGTGCTCAGTGGCGCTTTGTGACGGCATGGGGGCTGAAAGATTAGCGGAAGTTGCCCGGAACTCGCAAAGATCTTTGGGAAACTCGCCTGTATTTGGGCATCGTCTGGTCCTCCCGGTTCTGCGCAGTGGAGGATCTCCCATAATGCGTTGCGCCAAACACGCGTGTGTGGGTCTCACACCGGGTCTCACGCACGTGCACAGAGGGGCTCGGCTGCGCTCTGACCAATCAGAGCAGTTCATCAGAGCGGGAGTTAGAGTGAGAGCCAGACAAGCAAAGTTTGTGGAACTAAAGTGTGGATTTAAACAAAACCGAAGGATTTAAGAAGAAAAAAAGTTCAGAATGACAAGGGACACTAAAATCCCCACAAAATCCGATCTTTATTAAAGCTGTAGGTTCTCTGTCAGCTGAGGTTGAGCTGTTTTAATATGCATTGAGTTCTATGGGGAAAATTTCTGGGTAGCCCACGTGAATTTAGTCTGGTTCAGTCTGCAGTACCGCGAGAATCCCCTGAGCACATGAGTTATTCAGCTACAAGCTAGTAATACCCTATCCAGTTATTATAATAGATCCATGGGTAAAACTCAGTGCAGTGCAGCCTCTGTGCAGAGTGAACGTGGTCTTGTTTACATCCACTCCTCCACACGACTGTCAAGTGCCTGAGACGTTTGGAGAGATTCGGTCATTTATCAAACTAAAGTATTCTTTCCTTGGCAGTCTGGTGAATGACTGAGAGTTGAGGAGCTCTGTCTTTGACAATGCTCCTCGGCTTCCGTACTTTAACTCATTGTGTCCCATTGACGCACAAATACGTCAAAGCAAATAGTAACGTCGTGTGCCATTGACGCATTAATACGTCAATTGCTTTTTTTGCTATTTTCACGTTCCCAGATGTCTATTGTATCTAATATGTATGGGGATGACTTGAGACCATATTTTATCGAGCCAGCAGGTGGCAGCATTGCTCTCTGAATGGTTTGAAAACATGTAGGTGCACATGTTGTGCCTGTTTTTTCTCAACTTTCTGGTGATTTCTGGTGATTTCAGTAAAACTTCCCTCTACTCAACGCAGGATTACAGGGGAACGAAAAAAGCTATAAACAAAATTCTTTTTGCTGAGGAAAGTAGACAGTCCATTCTTTTAGAATCTGGTGTTGGATTTCAGACAGTCATAGTACACAATATTCTGTGGGTCTTGAAAAATCAGTAAAAATCATCAGAAATGGCTGGCACTATGGGAGTACCTGTTCTGAAATAGGCTGGCATTCAATGAGTTAATAGACTGCAATATAAGATCTCAACACTAGATGGCACTAAATATTACACAGTGTACCTTTAAGAAGATTCTTAGGAAGATATTGGTGAATGAGGCCCAATGTTATCAAGAAAGCCACATTGATGTGACCATAAACATTGACCCCTGAATTCTTCACCTTAAAGACAACTAATCTGAGAGTGATGTTCTCCCAGGCCTCTGCTTGGATCTTCAAGATAGGTGGAAAACTTGCCTGGACATGCGCTTCTAAAGGGGAACTGTGAAGTGCTTTTTTCAGAGGGGACAGGACAACTGATCTGTGTATAAAGGAAAGAATGAATGGGGCCAGGTGTCATGAGGTGACAGGAAGGTGAGTCTATGTTGCCTAGCGACAGCCACAGAACATCACATCTCTAGTGAAGATCTGCATGGAAGAATGGACCAAAACACCAGTTATAATGTGTAGAACCTAAATGTAAATGTAAAAAATTTAAATGTAAAATGTAAAATATTTTGTCCTCTGCATGTGACCCATCCTGATGCCACTAAGGCTTACGTCAGGAGCAGTGGCCAAGACCTACTGGGAATGTGTGACCTCAGACCATAACAAAGGTCACATGGCTGTTTTTCACAGTGGCGTATCCCTGTACGCTTTGGCTCTGCCAATGGAACTCTTGTTCCACTTTACATTCTGAAGAAAAAGTTATTCTTTAGACACGTGATTGCATTGTTGTTCCAAAAAATTCAATACTCGTGTCTAGAAAGGAGCAGCTTCAGACATGGTTCCTCCAACATGGAGGGTTTTGTGCTTTCAGGATAGTTCTGTATTCATCACCTCTCACACGTGTAGCATTCACAGAACTCGTTGAGTTCCCCAAAGAAGCCGTCGCCGTAGTAACAGGAGATCTCTTCCCCCGGCTCGATGTCTCTCAGAACCTTGACGCAGGCTGTGTCTCGACCAGTTGACACAAACTGGAGCAGGAGCAGAGAACAGGCTCAGAACACCACATATTGCCAACACAACACATGACTTTCTCCTACTGTAGCTCACCTTACAGTTCGGCCGACAGTCTAAAGAGAAGGACAGAAGGCAGTTAGAATCAGACTTTTAAACGTAGACCTTATCTGGACTGTAGAGCAGACGAATAGGAGGTTTTTTTGTACAACTCACAGCTCACCCTCTGTGGTTTAGTCCTCTCTGATATCCTGGTGTTTATATTGTGATATTGTCTTTCAAAATCCAGATATGAGCCATTAACCTCTTAACATCCACCCGCCCGCCGGTGGGCAATTTTTATTTTTAAAATGTTCTGCTGGCAATAACAGATGCGTTTTGAACACCAAACCCCACAAAACCTTCAAAAGATATAACACATAATATGGGCACAAAATAAGTGACTTCGGAAAAAAAATGTTTACCTTTGGGCTTGTGCTGCATAAATCAATCAGCTCTCCTCCCGGCTTCCTATGGCTCTTTCTCTCTGGAACAGTCCATTTAAAAATAATATCCACTTGTATTTCCCAAAGTATAATCCATTCTGGAGAAATAATCCAAAAATGTGCACTTTCGGATCATTTTTGTATATTTTTTGACATGTGTTTCACTAACAAACCACCAGTGGACTCTGCAACTGTACGAAGAAGACACATAATGGAAATACGGGTGAACTATTTATGGGAATGATAAACTTTGAGAATGCATCGTATTCTACTGTAGATGAACTGTTTAACTCTGTCACCTCTAGTGTTTTGAATGTTCTGGACACCATCGCTCCTGTGAAGGTTAAAATAGTGAAAAATAAGCAGAAGGCGCCGTGGGCTAAAGCAGACTCGGTCAGGGCACAAAAGAGAGTGCCGGAGGGCCGAGCGGAAGTGGCGCAAGTCCAACCTCCAGGTTGATTACAAGATCTTCAAAGATAAGTTGTGCGAGTTTAACCAGGTGCTACGTAGTACGAGAGAAAGGTATTTTTCTGAAATGATTGAAGGCTGCAGCAACAATCTGCGTGTTCTGTTTTCAACAGTTAATAGATTAACAAACCCCCCTGTTCAAATGCCATTAGAGCTAACTTCCAAACGTAAATGTAATGAGTTTGCACATTTTTTCAATGACAAGGTTCAAGGCATCAAAAACGCCATTGTCCCCAATCCACAGATAACAATCCAACAGCCAGAAAGGCTCTTTGAGCTAACTTACTTTGCACCTGTAAATGATCAAACTGTCCAAGAGATAATCTCCAGTTTGAGCTCCTCCACATGCAGCCTGGATGTACTACCCACTATATTTCTAAAGTCTGTTCTGAGCAGTCTGTTACCTTCACTCACACAGATAGTAAACATGTCCCTTGATTCTGGAATATTCCCAAAGGCCCTGAAAACTGCAGTCATCAGGCCCCTGCTAAAAAAGAGCAGTCTGGATGCTACGGTACTTAACAACTATCGTCCCATCTCAAATCTGCCATTTATGGGGAAAGTCCTTGAAAAAGTTGTCTACCTACAGCTTACTAGATTTCTTATAATCAACAACTCATTTGATATGTTTCAGTCCGGCTTTAGACCCCACCACAGCACTGAGACTGCTCTCGTCAAGGTTACAAATGATATCCGGCTGAACACTGACGCAGGCAAAGTCTCAATCCTAATCCTGTTAGATCTAAGTGCTGCCTTTGACACTGTCGACCATGAGATCCTCTTACAGAGACTAGAGGACTGGGTTGGCGTCGCTAGCTCCGCCCTAAGTTGGTTTAGGTCTTACCTTGAAGACAGGAAGTACTTTGTGGAGATTGGAAACTGTGTTTCAGATCATATGGCCCTGACCTGTGGAGTCCCACAGGGGTCGATCCTGGGACCTCTTCTGTTCAATCTTTACATGCTGCCGTTAGGTCAGTTAATACGCAGAAACAAAGTTTCCTATCATAACTATGCAGACGACACTCAGATCTATGTCTCACTGACTGCAGGAGAACATGGACCAGTGGACTCACTCCTTCACTGTATCCAACAGATCAGTGAGTGGATGCAAAACAACTTCCTTCAGCTAAACGCAGACAAAACTGAAATGATTGTCTTTGGTCCCCAGAAACAAAGAGAGAGCGTCATCTGTCACCTACAGTCTCTCTCCCTAAAAACCTTCAAACAAGGTCAGAAATCTAGGGGTAATACTGGACTCAGACTTAAATTTTAATAGCCACATCAAATCAGTAACATCAGCAGCTTTTTACCATCTAAAAAACATTGCCAGGATCAAAAACATAGTGTCTAAAGCAGACCTGGAGATTCTTATCCATGCATTTGTCTCCAGTAGGTTAGACTACTGCAATGGCCTGCTCACAGGTCTGTCCAAACAGGCTGTAAAACAGCTGCAGTACATTCAAAATGCAGCAGCTCGAGTCCTGACTAGAACCAGGAAGTACGACCACATTAGTCCAGTTCTCAGGTCTCTGCACTGGCTTCCTGTGGCTCAGAGAATAGACTTTAAAACAGCTCTGCTTGTGTACAAGTCTCTCCATGGCCTCGCACCAAAATATATTAGTGACATGTTAGTCCCATATGAACCAGCCCGGACTCTGAGGAGCACAGGGACTGGACTCCTGTTAGTGCCCAGAGTCAGAACTAAACATGGGGAGGCTGCTTTTCAGATTCATGCTGCTAAAATCTGGAACAATCTTCCTGAAGATGTGAGACAGGCCTCCTCTCTGACAATGTTTAAAACCAGGTTAAAAACGGTGCTGTTTAGCTGTGCATACAACTGAGGGATTTTATATTTTTATCTTTTGTTTTAATGTTCTGTAATTATTTATGATTTTAATGCATCTTGTTCAGCACTTTGAGTTGCCTTGTGTATGAATTGTGCTATACAAATAAACTTGCCTTGCCTTGCCTTTATCTGTAGTGAAAAAAACGAAAAAAAAAAGAGCACAGAGGCTGTTCTTTCACTGTAAACAGACTTTTAGCTTTGTTTTTCACCCAAACAACAACTGAACAGTTATACCTTAATATATGATCGAACCCTTTATGTACACAAATATATGATAGAAGCCTGTATAAACACTAAGATAGATAAATATATGATTCTATCAAATAGATATATATATGGTTCTATCATTATATATTAGGGCTGTCAAACGATTATTTTTTTTAGTTGATTAATCGCATAGTAATGGTGAGTTAACTCACGATTAATCGCATTTTTAACATTCTATTTCAAATCCACTCCAATTGAAGTTAAATGAGATTTTCAAATGTAACACATTGTTATTCATACCAAATGTACTTAAATCTGTTTGACTTGCTCACAACCTTCTACTTTTGGGTACAACCAACAAGAGCTGTTAATGAAAGGGAAAATGTAGGTACCCCAGCTTTAATTTTGCGAGTTTGGTTGCATTTCAGCGTGTCTCCTCCTCTCCTCCGTGTGTCACACAACATCAGAGAATGGCCCCTGTGCGTGTATATATATGCGTGTATTATATGACCACGTTACCACTGTCCCCATCACACACACGCACGTGTCCGCGGCATTCTGAGTGATATTATTATAAATGGGCGGGTCATTCAGACATGCGTTAACTCATTGACTGCCAGCCTATTTCAGAACAGGTACTCCCATATTGCCAGCCGTTTCTGATGATTTTTACTGAATTTTCAAGACCCAAAGAATATTGTGTACGATGACAGAATCCAAAACCAGATTCTGAAAGAATGGACTGTGTACTTTCATCAGCAAAAATAATTTTGTTTCTAGCTTGTTTCGTTCCCCTGTAATCCCCAGTCGAGTAGAGGTAAGTTTTGTTGAAATCACCAGAAAGCTGAGAAAAAAAGAGGCTCAAGTGCATCTAGCTGTTTTCAGCCATCTGCTGGCTCGATAAAATATTGCCTCAAGCCTTACATATTTGATACAATAGACATCTGGGAACGTAATAGCGCGAAACGCAATTGACGTGTTAACACGTCAATGGCAGTTAATTATTTTTTAACGCGTTAATGAAAACGGTAATTAACGCGATAATTTTGACAGCCCTATTTTATTTATTAAAAAAAAAAATATATATATATATATATATATTAGGGCTGTCAAAAATAACGCGTTAACGCACGTTAATTAATTTTTTTCATTAATCGCGTAAAAAAAAAAAAAAAAAACATGCGCGTGTGTAAGATGGGGACAGAGCAGATAGGCCCTCTGGGAATTCAAGTTTTGAAAGAATACACGCGTGACCGCGGGGCACTTGTTGTTTCCTGTATGAGCTCTGCATGATGAGCTGCGGGCGGGACAGCGCTCTGGACAGCAGGTCCCACTTCAAGCGGCTGTGATCACGACGAACGGCGCTGCGTAATGGGATCATATCCAAGAACACGCACAGAACTATTACAGAACTATTCTCTAGTGTGCGTACGTGTCTTTGCGTAACCGATGCACACAATATGTACAGCGCTGAAGCTGGACTGCGGAGCCTCAGGCCCCGACTCCACCGGGCGCGTAAAACGGACGACGGATCCGTCCAAACATGTCCGTTTCATCTCCGTCTCCGTTATCTCCATGAGGGTGAATGGAAGTGGCTCCACTGCCTCCGCATGCGTCCGTCCAACGCACGTCGGACCTATTCCGTCAACGGAGGGTGCAAAAGACGTGGACGGACGAAATAGAAACAATCCTATTTGTTCCGTCCGTCGACGCGTGTCGGGTCCGTTTTCCATTGAAAATGCAATGGAATAATACATTTACAACATTGTTAAACATGTATTGATATGCTGTAGTCCTTGGTTATAAGTATTTGTTAATGACAATGATTATTAACAAACGTGTGTAATGTTTTTCATGTATTAATTTAAATAATTGTTTCCTGATCGTAAATCTACCATTTATTTTTCGCGTAATGTTAATACGCTAATCTTTACATACACCTCGCTCTTTTTTCTCTCGCTCTGTCCCGTCTACCTCCGAGGCGCTCTCTCCTCACCGCCGCGCGCTCCCACACAGACACAGACACAGACACAGACACAGACACACACACACAGCTGCACTTATGAGAGACAGATCTCACAACACTGGATATGTTGGAGTTCTTTTCTCTCTCCTATTTTCCAATTGCTTTCAATAAGTTTTGCCTCATCCATCGCGACGTCCTCAATGCTTCAATATGCCGTGCTTTGCACTGATCATAGCCACAGCTCATACAAATCACACACTGCTTCTTCTATTTAAAACTATAGCTCTGCCTGTTGCCTAAAGCCGCGGAGAGGCGAGTTGGCTCCGATAAAAGTGTATCATGCGCTAAATAAGTAGAAAACAAACGAAGAGGCTGGATCATAATAAACGCTGCAGTCACAGACCCAAACACACATGCACGCACACGCCTCCCACCACACACACACACACACACACACACGGGCGCTCTCACGCACACGCTCACGCACACATGCACGCCGACAATACATAACTCCTCCATCAGCCAAACATTCATTCATTCACACAATGCCCAAACATGTCTCCTACAAAAACAAAGCAGGCTGATAAACGCACAGCCAGAGCTGCGCGCTGCTGCAGCCGGTTTGACCACTAGTCCGTTTTACGGACGGCTGACGGACAGCAGCCAACGCGCGTCAACGGAGACGCGCCCGGTGGAGTCCAGGCCTCAGTCTCCTCCGTGTCTTCTCCCGAAGCGCACTCGCTAAATTAAAGCTGAGGTACCCAATTTTCCTTTCGACCATCAGTTCATGTTCGTTGTGCCAAAAAAAAGCAATGGTGTGAGCAAATCAAACAGATTTAATGACATTCTGCATTTCAGACTATTTTGAAATGTTCCTCATCTGTAACAAACAATGGTTTTGGTCTGAGTCTAAACAGAAAGACAGAATGTTAATTCCACATCTTTCCATTCAAACAACAATTTACAGAAAAATATGGCATAATTTTGCCAATAGTTTGAAATGTGATTAATTACGATTAATTAATTTTTAAGCTGGCAGAAACAGCCCAGCCTTGGATTAAAGAGACTGATTTCGGTACAGTCAGAGTTATTTGGGTGATGAAATCCTTACCACAGCCATTCGATGCATTTCTAAAGTATCACAGCAAGGCGCTCGAAGAAGCATCTTCCAGACGATCTTCTCGGCATTCACAGCGTCATCTTCATCCATGAAGCAGGGAAATAGGAACAGCTACATTGCTAATTAAAGCAACTCTTTGGGAAACTAAAACAATCTTTTAAGAAAAAGGAGGGCTCAACTCAAAAGAAGATAGGGGAGAAGCGGAAATCCATGACAGCACTAGAAAAAATGAATGCATTGATCAATGGATTTCGTGGCCGGAATATGAAGACGCAACTTCCAAATGGTCATGATGTAACGGACTACATGAACCTTACGTCTGAGTCACACATGGCCCAGCAAATCAGCGTCTGTACCAGTCATCAAAGTCCAAACTCCCTCACATGGTCTCTACAAAGTGACACATAGTATTCTCGTTAACACAAACCAGTTACAAACAGCAACACATTACAGAATGTGGTTTGAAGTACTAAACCAAGCAGCAAAGGTACAACACCTAGCCACAACCAGGCCAGTCCTGGGTTTAAACGGGAGCCTGTTGGATAGCGGGACTGGCAGCAGGCTTTGAACAAGGCGATGAAGATATAACTGAAAGTTTCAAGACAGATGGTACAATATGAGCAGTTACACAAGTGTGGACTACCAAGAGAGTTAATCGAAGTTGTGTTACATAGGAGCCCAGCACATGTTAGAATCATGCTTAGAAGACTGTTGGAATAACAACTTCGGAAGCCTTACAAGATAACCAGGTGGCATTACAGTAACTAAGCCAATGATCTGGCCCACAAGAATTCCGACGGATGGAGAGGGACCTCCACCTTTGGGCCTAGATCTCACGTGATTTTCAATGCATTGAATGATGTAGAGTTTAAGGAGCAGGAGGTTTGACAAATACAGGAACTAACATGCGCCTATTTGTTACAAAGCTCCATACAATCTAGAGAGAAAGATGGAGGAACATTGCATTTGGAATACACAGTGGGACCGACGCCGACCAGTTTGGCAGACTGGTGCAATTTATTAACAAGCAAGGCAAGAAATTTGCAACCCACGTGGTGACCACTAGGAACGGAGGGCTAGTCATCGAAAGGTACACGGGCATAAAGGTTGCACGAGAGGAAGTAGTATAGAAAGTCGTTACAATGCAGCAACTATTTCCAAGCCCTCAAATTTACACTACCCCACAGGCACAGAATAAAGCCCCACAATCCACCACGCATGGCAAATCCGAGCCTTTTGTGTCCATGGGGTGCCGGGACTCAGAACAAGGGAAAAGTGCAACAAGATGAAGGAATCGCTTCACAAAGAAAAGATTGACCTTTGAGAACTAAAGGGTCGAAGCTTGTGGCTTTTAAACCAGGAACACAGGAGTAACTCATGCAAGGAAGAATGAGTGTGCCAGGGTTTGCTCACAGCCCACCGTACATTTACACGTTAAGACAAGGTCGAACAATGTAACAAAGATTTACAGAGCCAAAGTGGAATACAAAGGGAAGGGTGAAGAACCATCACAGGCGTTTGTGAAATGGATTCGTAGGGGAATGAGGATTCTCCACCCATAATTCAGGGAACACAGGTCACATCTTGGCATTGTTCCAGTTCTGGACAAATTCGAAAAGAACAAAGGTGCCAAAAACCCCACGCATTCCTAGACCCCGGCCAAGTAACCTAGGCGTCTTCTTTACCAAGAGTTAATGCAAAGCTCAGCTGCACAGAATTAACACAACAGGGTTTTGTTGTGAAAAACCGGATGGGGGAAAGAAAATTGGTCCATAGTTGCATTGTGTCGGGCTGGAAGTGAGCACTTAGACAGCAATGACTTTATGAACTCCCAATATGTACAGTCACCAGTCACATTCCGCAGCTGTTGATAATTTCATTCTCAAGATTTCATTAACATTGTCCTAACCGTGCAGCAATGTTATATCCCCAAGATGGATGCCAATAAATGGTCTACCATCGGGACTAATGCACTAAACCATGAACCCTGGCAGTGATCGCCAGTGAAGATGAGGTCCCCATAACGCTTAAGACGAGTCTGTTGGACCATCTTATGAACCACTCAAGGGATGGGCACGTCCCACAATGTCCAAATGGGTATATAACGTTGGCACAGGCAAATCGCATATTCATGGAAGTCGATTTGGATGGAACCTGGAGTCCAACAGTCTAGAGTGGACTTTCCCTATGTGAGAAGGGGACGAGAAGCTTGAATTCAAAGAGGATTTGGCAGTTTCTTGACATCGCTACACATCACTACTCTATGAAGACAGTACCTGCATGGCACTGCCATTGCGAACAAAACGTTAAAAATGCCCAATAATCGCAAAGTGGGCATGAGCAACGACCAGAACTTAACAGAATTTGTGGAAAATCCGACGTGAAATGCTGAATACGCACCTTCAGGAAAAACGTTATTAAAAGGCATGCCGTGAAAGTACCGCGACCAAAGACCTCATCGAAATACGGAAAGGTGTGTATCTTACCGCATCAAGGTTGTATCTCCCCAAAAAGCGCAAGCTTAATAATAAAAAATAAAAAAAAAAATAATAAATAATATAATATAATTAAGTGGTGTTCACTGTGGGCGGTCATTACCCAAGGCACGGCATTAAATGATCAACGGGTACAAAGACCAATCTTAAAATTCGCTTCTTGGTCATCACCAATCAGACATGAAGACTCCTCCATTGCAAAACGTCGAAGCTAATGTTCCACCATAAGGCCTGATGAAGTTTCCCGGGGATCTTTGACGTTTTTCTCTGGGTGGGCCAGCTGGGGTTGACATAACGCAGAAAATGGTCGAAGTTACAAATGGGGTTCCATCTTTTGGAGCTACTCTCGTCACCAAGTTGCGCCATCTTTGCCCCGCATATTTGCTTAGGACAATACTGAGGACAAGGTTTGACATCCAGCAGTGGACACAGGGCCCATTACTATTACTCTAGATCCTTTTAAAGGCTGTGAGTTCTATTGAGGAACCCTCGCTGTATCACAACTGGGAGAAGCAATTTGTCAAAACCGCGGTTTCGAGATTGACAAAATGGATACGGGGTATTCAGCAAGAGGGTTCGGTTCCGATATTCGGAAGAAGAAAGGAGCATCAGGAAGGGTAAGACCTCTAACCTGATCAGATGTTCTACCACAGAGGAAAAGGGGCTTTGGGAGGTCCATGGTGTATTCAAATCTGACATATTTAATGCAAAACCAAACTACATACAAAACTCCCCAAGACGAAATAAACACTTTCCGTATGTAAGTTTTCCGTTTACATCCTTGGTATCCTGGCGCCGATTACCCTTCCAGCCTAAATAAGTCCCTGCCAGAGACTATGCAGCGAAGATGGCTGGAAGGTGTTTATACCAAAGTATCTTGCACGTAAGTGGTTTGTGTGAATGAACCACTTCAACAACGAATAACATCATTCCCATATGTTCAAACCGAAACCTGTGGCTTTGCGGTCCAACCTTCAATCAATGCTCCACTTCGCCGACGCAAGTGAAGAAGGATAACGGGACTGTAAGGCGAGCGGTTACAAAGAAACGGCAATCAATCAAGTTACATTGTTCATACTCGGTTATGCGAAACAAGATTGGGCCCCCACTGAAACCCATACAATCCCGACCATGGTACTAACGGCAGCTACAAGGCGGCCGGGATGGACGAAAGTTGTTAAAAGATCTGAGATGTCCATCGCCCACTTTCAACCAATGTTTTGGTCCGACATACTTACCAACCGATTTAAATATATATTTCGCAACACATCAAGTAGTTCCGCACTTTGGTTGCTAACATCGCGTGAGCATCGTTAGAATTCATCCCAACCAAACCATGGAGATACTACAATATCCTCACCGAAACCCTGCAACTTGGCATCCAGGGGACTAAAGACTGAGAACGTTTGTCAGAGCCCATGGCGGGTTACAGGGCGATTCCCTTACGGCCCCATGGAAGAATTGCCAGAAACATGCAAATCTTTGAAGACTTAACCACAAAGACCCTGAGTATAAGACCCAGGGAGGTCAATACAGGTGGAAGAAACAAAAGGACGCAATATTTGAATGTTTGGCTTCTATACTTCTCTCGTGTGGTTGTCCCTGAAAAAGCAGTTCATGGATGCTAATAAATCTAGAGGAATTCTGGGCTGACGCTAATCGCAAAAAGAAAGATTCGATGCAACAAACACTCAAGATGAATCGAAAAGTGAAAGGACAATTACAAAAAATCATACTTCAACAAAAGACAGGACAAGCTAACCTGACGACCCTCAAAAGAGCCTAAAGAGATTGGTATCGCTACGCCAAGCTAAACATGTTTCAACAGAACGTAAGCAAGTTAAAATGAACCAAAGCGGCGTTTAAAGAAGCTGCAGTATATTCAAGTTGAAAATCCGGTTACTCGACACGTGGGCTATTCTAAGAGTTGGAGACCTCAGTAAGCTTGCATTTCCTGAAAGGCAAAGCGCCAGCATCATGGAACAAAGATCTCAATCACATAGCTACATCATCATAGAAATACACGAGAACAAGGGCACTCTGGGCGGTCGTATCCATGTACTCTCCAAGTGGGAAAACAAAGGGGTTATTTGTGATCCGTGCCAATCGCTGTGAATCTAAGGAAGAGTATCTTCTCGAATGCCTTTATTTGCCGACCACATGTCCATGTGACGTTTGCAGACAACAACACATAATGGCTGACCTCCTCGTAGACAAGAGTCCGCCCAGATGACCCCTCAGTTTACCCAACAACAGGGGAGGACTTACTTCGGAGTCCATTGAGGTAAAAGCGTGGCCGAAGTTATGGGAAAAGATAACGGCGTGATATGTCACCGTCTCACAGGAATAGTTCGTGCATATCACTTAGAAATGGGCATCTTCATTAGATTCTGATTCAGGTATTTCAGCGCTCTCGTCCGCGTTCATAGCAGAAGAGGGCCAGTAAAAGAGTACTCCGCCTCGACACGGACAATCTAATTGCATTGGTGCTGAGCGGAACACAAAAAAGCTTTGGGAGGACGTGACACAATTATCGGAAGATTCGGAAAGGAAATCAGTTACATACTACACGGCATCAATGGATGTTCAACCCTC